TGCGAGCATCTGCAGCTGTATCCCTTCTAAACTTTACCCATTAAAACTGAGCGTGTGTTTATGTGTGTGTGTGGATCCTCATGGGGGTTTGAGGTGTCCAACTGATGCCTGTTGTGTACGCAGTACAGTACATTTTCATATGTACTACAACATTGAAATAAAAACAATAAAGTGCCTCTGATCTCAGCATTTGACATAACAAAACAAACTTTGCCCCATATATACAAAAGCAAATCAAATGCCCATATTTGCTGCAGACTTATCCAGAAACTGAAGAAGTCGGTGCGTGACTACCACATTGTTCCAAGTCAAACTGTCCATTGAACAAAAGTGATGAAGCAAAGAAACAGAACCTCTGAGCGGCAACTAATTAACTAACTCAGAAGTTTTTGTGTCATGAATCAGGAGGAAGACTTTGGACGCAGTGTGTCAAGTCCCACAAAATGTCTTTGAAACACCTGAAATGTTTTGCTGAGTTGTGGTGGATACTGCAAGTTCATAGCCCTGGCGTGGTTTCCAAGACGAGTAAGCACAGGGATGCCCTCAATGATGATGCCCACCACATCTGGAACACGGCAGACATATCTGCATATTGCGCATTTTCAAGTCTTCATAGACACTGCTCTCTGTTTTTCCCTGTATGAGAATAAACAGAACAATAAGTGGCAAAACTGAAAAAGCCATTCTGACAGTTATATTGTCAGATGATTATGATTTTTGCATAATGTAAAACAAGGATTTGAAGTGAGTGAGCTCCTCCAGAGGAAATACAGGCTAAATTTTAATCATACTTTATAAAAGGGACCAACAGAGATGCAGCTTGAGTTGTATTTTGAAGATTTAAGGCATGGGTCTTAAACTCAATTCCTGGAGGGCCGCAGCTCTGCCCAGTTTTGCTCCAAAAATCAAACACACAGCTAATCCAAATAATCAAGCTGTTCAAGACTACCGGAGACTACTAAGCAGGATTGAGTTGAAGGTGGTTGGAGATAAACTGTGCAGAGCTGTGGCCCTCCAGGAATTGAGTTTGAGACCACTGCTTTAATGTAGATGAAAACACAGACAGAAAGTAATATCAATCTTTGCATAGATGAGATTAATAAAGTGTATTGCCATCCTTTCACTTAAGCTGAGCTATATGACACTGTGCATAAATGCATTGAACACACTCAACAGTACATGTAAAGATAGGCATGATGGGCTTTAGTCTCTCTGCTTTGAGTCCCACATACATACAATATAAGTTTAAAATAAGCCTAAATAAAAAATAAGAGTGGGGTTGGTGAGGGTGAACATTGTAGTCAATCAAATGTAGCCTAAGATGTGCATGTTAATGATCCCATGTGCAAAGTAACAGTCTATGTTTTGTTCCCATGGGCCTGTTTTCACTGGGCTTCTACAATTACAGGTTTACATGAGAACAATCTAACAATGTTGTTTGAAGCTCATGGTATGCCTTTCAATGTACTGACCTCTTTTTATTAATGCATATCCACACTTTCATTATGTACACCTTTAAATAAATGTTTGCATTTTCATTTTGTCAGCTTATCTTATACAGTGTGACAAATAGCCCCTGACTTGATACTGTGTGGGATAATTTTAGTTTTAGCAATTCTTAAAAGCCATTCTAATTTGTCCCATTTTGACTGCTATGTCATAATAAATTGTGAAAATAACCCATCGAAGAAGGCTTTGACACCGAGCATAATCCTCTTTTGACTGTCACATCAGTGTCACTAAGGAAAATTAAATGTGCTGGCCAGTTAGTTATTTAAATTAGTGCTATTCAAACTACAATATGCTAGTTTTTAATTGAAAACTTTAACAGATTCATATTTTTATTTTCTAATGAAATATAATGTACTAAATTTGTATTTAAAAAAACAAGTATTTATTCTCATATTTCTTCATTCTAAATCTTTAGGAAATGTTTTGGATTCATCATAAAGTGTGCTTATGATGACCATCCAACCTGCGAGTCCATCAAAAAGGTAGTGCTAAAATGTCACTAAAACGGCAGCACGGTGGGACATTGGGTAGCACTGTCACTTGAGTGCAAGGTCGCTGGTTCGAGCCTCGGGTCAGTTGCCGTTTCTGTGTGGAGTTTGCATGTTCTCCCTGTGTTCGCGTGGGTTTCCTCCAGGTGCTCTGGTTTCCCAGTTCAAAGACATGCTCTACAGGTGAATTGGGTAGGCTAAATTCGCTGTGGTGTATGAGTGTGACTGAGAGTGTATGGGTGTTTCTCAGTGATGGGTTGCAGCTGGAAGGGCATTCACTGCATATAACATATGCTGGATAAGTTGGCGGTTCATTCCACTGTGGTGAACCCAGATCAATAAGGGGACTAAGCAGAAAAGAAAATAAATGAATGTCAACCCATTAAAACTTCCTAACTAAATAGAAAACGAGGCGAACAACTGCAAAAAAGGTCTACTTTTTAAGAAAAAAGAACCCCCCCCCCCCCCTTCACTAGGCTGGCTATGGGCCGGACTCTAGTCTTACTGAAAACCCTTCAGTTGTTCTCAGCTGAGTTGCACGAGCATATGATGCCCATTCAGGTAGGCAGCTGGCTTTGTTTCCACGGTCAGCTTCCAAGTTCATTTAGCCGTGGCTCCGCATTCAGAGTGCAGCATATTGTTGGGCTGGAGAAGCTCCGCCCCACAGATCTCCGGTGTCAGATCAGCCCGGTGGAATGCGGCGGACTCACAAATTTGTTCTTTCACCTTAAAACTTCCTCATCAAGCCAGTGCGCGGCACCTTACTCTCTTCCCTGACCCTATGAAAGACAAAACCTCACCGCTGACATGTAAGTTGAATCTCGCCGAATTAAGCTCTCGCGGAAATGTACGGAATTGTTTTTTGACAATTACGGTCCACTGTAGGTGTCCGCTTTTTATGTACTGGAGACATAGGCGCATCACCTTCCGGGCAGTGACCCGGTTTTAACACTGTACTCGTATCTGGGCTATATTGATACAGTCTGATGATAAGGGCACTTGGCTCAGCCTTTATCAAACATATGAAAAGTCACTCTCGGCTTTCAGAAGAGACTAGTCTAGGATTAACAGCACAATGAGAACTTCGGCGGAATTTAAAGGTTCGTACTTTTCTTGAGAAAAATAATACAATACACGTCTGATGTTGATTAATATGTCTGACCTGTTAGCAATTATAGTATAACGATGTATTAAACGTGGAATATAGTAAGAACTGTTAAACATTACGGTAGTTTATGCAAAATATAGCATAAACTGCGCTACAAATACACATGAAATCAAATGTTGTTTGATTGACCTTGTTCATGTTCATTCAGACTCGCAAATGCATTGAAAGCAGCTGGTGTTTTTGAATGTTTTTATTAGCTTTAATGTTTTCTGCTCAGTTCCACGGTCTACTGTTTAAAAGAGATAGCCTACCTTCTTATATTATTATTGGTAATAAGTGGTTAAGTCGAAATTATTTGTGAGACTTCCCAACCATTTATGAGCTTAAATGTTTTTGCGGCTTATGTTCTCAGCTTTTATTCTAACTTATTTAGTTTCATGATTGGCACAGTTAATTAACCGTCTGCGGTTTTTTCATTGCATAACTTTGTGTAATAGGGCATTTCATAATCTTTCGTAAATTCCCTAACATGCTTTGTTTGGCAAGGAATGAATGCAGAAGTTTGATATCTCTCAGAGCAGAGTTAATGAAGTGAAGTCTGACTCAAATCCGCGAATCGGTTCTTTCGAACAGTTCGATTCGAGCACCCATTCAAAAGAGATTCAACGTATTTACGTGACATTGTGGTGTAGATTATTGCTGTAAATTCTCACATGTATGCCCAAAATTTAAGATTATTGCATTTTCATTTTGCTCATTATAATAAGCTAGCTTTGTCCTACTAATTACTTTTTGCCCAATCAGTTATATCCGCCTTGTATATTAATAGAGTTATATGACACTATAATGACTGTGATAATGATAGTGACTGAGGTGAGTTTCATGAATGGAACCCTTTCCTTACAGAAGTAAAAGTAAATGTGTTGCATAGCCTAAATGTCTGTTTTAAACCCACCAAAAAGCCTAATTTAAGGCTACACTACAGTCAATGTTATTATTTTACATTTATTTGTAAAACTAGTGCGTTTTAAAATGCGTTCACTTCCTTGCTTTATCCATCAAAATAATTAGGATTTTACGTTTTAATCAATTGTGACCTTTGATTTTTTTAAATATAGACTGAGAGTGCAAATGAAAGTCTATGAGGGTGTGCATTTTGTGGCAGGGAACGTTTCTCGGTACAACACAGGTATTGAATCGTCCAACTGATTCATTGAAATAATCTGACACAAAAGAATGATTCTTTCTGCGTTATTCCAGTCAGTACTTTTCCAGAGAGTCCTCAAGTTTGGCTCAAGTTCCCTTTCTTTTGTCTCATTCATGCGTCATCTGTCACAACGCTTGAAATGGGACTTTGAGGGGAAAACGTGAGGTACAAAGCAAGAGAAATTTGCAAAGGAATCTATTGTTACTGACTTCTGCACTCGTAGGCTAGCTGTAGTGAACTGTTTATTCTGAAGTAGCTTTGGTTAACAACAAGACTGGGACGTCTGTATTATGACTATTCCAGGGAGCAAAGCAGGTTTGTTTATAAAAAGAAATGTACAGTACTATTTGGATCAGGTTTGCTCTGGTTTTGATCGTTCCTCTCAACAGAACATGCAGTCCTGCGCTTATTAGATCCGGCAAGATCTTGTTTTCAACTGTAAGTTAAGTAACATAACATCAGACTGTCGGGGCGTGACGAGCTGATGTTCCCTTCACTCACAGTTGGCCCCTCAAAGACGTCACGCTTGACTCTGCTGAGGAACATGCACAAAGCCACGCCTCCTCAAAGAGTTGCGTCAAGAAACGCCCCCTGTGCGAGAACACCACACAAGCCACGCCTATTACGCGATCCATACGCTCCTCCTCCGGTGTTTTAAATAGTTGGGACTGTAGTGTAGGAGTTCAGTAGCGCTTTGTGTCGTTTTGGTCTCGGGCCCAGAGTGGAAAACTACAGCCATGACAATCCAAACGGAGACGAGCGTTTCAGCTCCAGACTTGACCTACTCTAAAACAAGAGGACTAGTAGCTAATCTGAGTGGTACGCTTTGTCTTTTTTTTTTTCAGATGAATGGAATCTTTTGAGCCAACTTTTGTGAGAGAAGGGAAGAATATTAAGTGATTCTGCTTTTTAAATGGAGGTTTTCTTTCTCTGTTTTGTCTTTCATGTGCAGCTTTTATGAAGCAGAGAAAGATGGGACTGAATGACTTCATCCAGAAGCTTTCTGCAAACTCCTATGCATGCAAGCAGTAAGTTTGTTTAATGTAAATGCTGAAAGGAACTGTGCACATGTAGAACAAATCAGTAAAAATAACATATCTGTATCGATTTTTTTGTAATTTTATACTTGAAATACATTTGTAAACATGCACATTATTTGTAACTTATTGCATGTTTACAAATGTATTTCAGCTATAAAATTACAATAAATAGAATACATGTATATTATTATTATTACTGATATGTCATTTCATTCAAATTGTTTTATTAAAACATGCAGTTATAATTTATTATATTTAAACTATTCTCATTTATTTAAAAACAAGCAATTATACATCTTTTTGATTTAAACATCTATTTAAAACAATAATTGTTTTAAATAACTTTTTTAACTATTATTCAAACTGTGTATTTCTTGTTTATTTTAATTATTATATTTATTGATTTATTTATTTTAACTTCCAGTTGTCTTGTTTATAGATTTATCCTCGTTTGTTTTCTCACTGTGCATCTCTGATTTGTTGTTCTTGCAGTCCTGAGGTTCAGTCCATCCTAAACCTGACACCACCACAAGATGTGGAGCTAATGAACAGCAACCCTTCCCCTCCGGTAAATCTGCTTGTGTTTATGTTGTGTTTATAGCAGCAGAAAACATGTTTATATGCAGCCTGCATCTCACTCCAAAACAATGTCTGAATCCTATTAATCCAATGATATCTCTCTGCTCCTCAGCCAAGTCCCTCTCAGCAGATCAACCTCGGCCCTTCCTCAAACCCCACCGCCAAACCATCAGACTTCGACTTTCTGAAAGTCATCGGAAAGGGTAGCTTCGGCAAGGTTCTCCTGGCACGCCACCGGAGCGATGAGAAGTTTTATGCTGTGAAGGTGCTTCAGAAGAAAGCCATCTTAAAGAAAAAAGAGGTATGAGATCACACACGCACACAGCTATTCACTTAAGCTTTTTGTCAATCAGTAAGTATGCATGACCTCTTAACCTCTGACCCTTAGGAGAAACACATTATGTCAGAGCGCAACGTGTTACTGAAGAATGTCAAGCATCCATTCCTTGTGGGCCTGCATTACTCCTTCCAGACCACTGATAAACTCTACTTCGTACTGGACTACATCAATGGAGGAGAGGTGTGTACTTTAATAAGCAAGACATTACAAACAATCAGGATTGAGGAGAGAGAGTGACAGAAAATAGAGACAGCGAGGTAGATGCAGACAGAAAAAAGGAAATCCTGTCATGAGAAGAGCGCCTGGGCTCTGAATAGGAAACTCTCATCAGGAAATGGCTGGGAGGGGAAAGTGTGTGAGGTGGGAGAGCCAGATTTAGCAGCTGCAGTGGTTTAGACTGGGTCTAACCCAACAGACGTCTCTGAGGGGCCGGGGGGGGGTGACGTTCTCATTTCCTGCCATTGTTCGGGATCGCAGAGAGTCTAGAAAGCTTTGATTAAGTATGCCATTCAGGATGTGGAACTCACAGTCTAATCTGTCTCCTCTTTCTCTCTGTGCTTCCATAGCTGTTTTATCACTTGCAAAGAGAGCGATGCTTTCTGGAGCCGCGCGCTCGCTTCTATGCAGCAGAGATTGCCAGTGCTTTGGGTTACCTGCATTCACTGAACATCGTCTACCGAGACCTGAAGCCCGAGAACATTCTGCTGGATTCTCAAGGGCACATCATCTTGACTGACTTTGGCCTGTGCAAAGAGAACATCGAGCCCAATGGAACGACGTCAACCTTCTGTGGGACGCCAGAGGTGAATACTGGACTTCATTTTATTGGTCCACAGAAGTTTGTTTTAAACACTGCAGCTGAACTGGAGTCAGTATGTGAACTTTTCTTAAGGGTTTTCTGTTTGTCATGCAGTATTTGGCACCGGAGGTGTTACACAAGCAGCCGTATGACCGAACGGTGGACTGGTGGTGTTTGGGCGCAGTGCTGTATGAAATGTTATATGGCCTGGTGAGTTAATGATTCAATGATTCATAATTTAGGGATGCACCCAAATGAAAATTCTAGGCCAAAAATGATTGACGCACTTAGTCTAAAACTGAAAAGCTTTGTTATAATTATCTAAACGAATTATTTAAGACTTTTTAAATTAAACCAGTGTTTCCCAACCGTGTTCCTGAAGGCACACCAACAGTACACATTCTCAACCTCTTCCTAATCAAACACACATCAATCAACTCATCAGAACATTAGAAGAGACTCAAAAGCAGGTCGCACACCAGAAGCGCCGCTCGGCGCCGCGACACGGGGCGTACATGACAGTTTAAAGTATCACACACCAGACGCGCACATTCGAATGATATTTAACATGAAACTAATCAGATGGCGATCTGTGGCGCAGCTGAAAAATGAACTGCGTCCTGAGCCGTCGCCGGGCGCCGCCGACAGCCGCCGACTTGCGGCGCCGGTGTGTGTATCCTGATAGAAACCTATGTTTAGAATTCTAAAATACGTGGCGCTGCGTGGCGCTACGCGGCGCGCCGCCGAGCGGCGCTTCTGGTGTGCGACCTGCTTAAGACCTAAAAGGAATGCGCCAGATAAGGGAGACATCCAAACTATGTACTGTTGGTGTGCCTCCAGGAACAGGGTTGGGAAACACTGAATTGAACGACCATTAAATAACCACATTTCATTGACAGTGAAATTGTGTAGACAGTGAACGAGTGGGGGAAAGTTTGCCATTTTTGTTTTTATCACCATAATGTTCAGTGGCCGAAAATTCAGCGCACACCTGATTTAACTGCACATATTTAGCTTATAAGCTGAGCTGACTTTTTAGACGATGGCTGACTGTTTTTATGTTCTCTCCACAGCCTCCGTTCTACAGTCGTAACACAGCAGAGATGTACGATAACATTTTGAACAAGCCACTGCAGCTGAAACCCAACATCTCCAACGCTGCCAGACACCTGCTGGAGGGCCTGCTGCAAAAAGACAGAACCAAAAGGCTGGGCTTCACTGATGACTTTGTAAGGGTTTTTGATTGAATATTATAAATAATATTACAAAAATTATAAAATAATAAGTAATATAAAGTTTTGCAATACAGTGCTCAGCATATATACGTACAGCCCTCACTAATGTATTTTTTAAATTAATAGTTTCTACAGCAGTGGTTCCCAATAAGTTGTTTGGACAAAAAGGGGGAGTTGTTTGGCGATTTACATAAATCAAATTCATTTTATTAAACTATCATAATTGCCATATTTTATCCATAACCTACTGCAGAACAAAATGGTAGTTAATAGTAACATTGTTAAAATGTTAGAAACAAACATTAAAAAACATTTTTTTTTAATTGAATCCTGGGGTGATTTACGTTATTTTAAAGACACAGCAAGTTGATTTTTATAACTCCAGGTTAAAATTTCTGACTTTTTTATACCATTACCATACATTAAAAATAAATACAGGCCACAACTGAACATGGAGGATGGTCTCCGAGTTGCGTTTAACAAAATAAATGATTAATAGACTTATTGGCCTATTGGTATATGTCCGCCATTGTGTGCAAGATTTATACATTAAAGCCACCTCAGAGGATATTGGGGGTCGTGAGTCGCTGGCAATGTAATTTTGGGGTTGCGGGCTGAAAAGTTTGGGAACCCCAATATTTTTTTTGTATTTATACATTAGATTAGTCAGTACTGAAGCCAAATCTGGAGCTAATCTAACACAGAACTATCACAGTCCAAAAAAAGAGTTCACTCAAATTTATATAATAGTGCAAAATATCTAATAAATATTAAAAAAAAAAAATTTTTCAAAGAGAAATCAAGAGAAAAAAATAAAAATAAATAAAATATTTGATTTTTATATAAAAAAATTGCAATATTTAGATTGAATTTAATTGTATTATCTTTCTATTTCGAAAGATTTTCGATGACTAAAATATATTTTTAATAAATGTATCTCTTTAATTACTTTGTTTTGTTAAAATGCACCAAAATATAACTTCTGTTCACTTAGAAATTAATAAATATATTAATTTTCAAAATGAGGTTCTCGCGTATGCTGAGCATTACATATGTATAAAATGTTAAATAATAATACTAAACATTACTCTTTATATTATTATGTGTGTGTTTTGCTATTGTGTCTAATGAATCTTCTGTTTTACTTGTGTAGACTGAAATCAAGAACCACATGTTCTTCTCTCCCATCAACTGGGACGATCTGAATGCCAAGAAGCTTACGCCACCATTCAACCCCAATGTGGTACGTCACACTGCTCTTTCTCTTTGCTGACTTTGAGTTTTGAGCACATTGCACTGGATGTTAGAGATAAAAACGTCCCAGTCATGCTAGCCGCTATGCAAATATTGCACTTTCTAATCAATGTCATTTTGACATCGTTCTGTTTCAGACGGGGCCTAACGACTTGCGACACTTTGACCCTGAGTTCACCGATGAGCCAGTGCCGAATTCAATCGGCTGCTCGCCGGACAGCGCTCTGGTCACGTCCAGCATTACTGAAGCGACCGAGGCTTTCCTGGGCTTCTCTTACGCCCCTGCTATGGACTCCTACCTGTAGCCCATTCCCCAGAAACGCCATCCCATGGACTCCTACCTGTAGCTCATTTACCATGGAAATGCTGTCCCATGGAATCTCACCTGTAGTGCATCACTATGAGAAAAGCAAACCCCGTCTCATTTCCCTGCCTCCAGATCGGGGGCATTTGCACATGGCGTACGGCAGCTCGAAAGGCCTTTATTGAAAGGCCTGAGTTTTACACGTTAAAGAAGAAGACTCTTCCTCTTCATCCAAATGCACGATTTCTCCTCCGCTTTCACCCTGGGTTGTGACAGATGGGGAAAAAGAGAGAGAAGATTGATGCTGATGGACGTTTATGTACTAGATTTATTTCAAAGCTTACTTGCGTTTCATTTTTTAGACATCATAGTTTTGGATGGATTGAATGCTTGTTTGTGGGTGCGTGTGTGTGTATGTGCCTTCATTTTAACACCCCTGTTCAAATGTTTGTTTAGTCTAAATCATGTGATCTGGCATGTCAGTCCATGTCAGGTATAAACAGTCAACGTGACACTAAAACCACTAAAATATATCAGCATCTGATGTTTTTGTGACCTTTCAGTTACGCATCTGGGATCAAATTTTTTGCACATTTATCTTCCTAAATTAAAGAGCACTTCCTTTAATGCTTTTTTTTTTCCTTGTTTATGACTTGAGCAGAAGGTGCTAGAAGGATGTGCTGCTAATGTGTGTAGAAATGCTCACTTTAGTCTTCCAGCCTCCTTGGATGTACAGTAATCCAGAAACGGGCCAGTCTGTCTCAGCAACACATTCCATTGAACAAGACTGTATGGTTATTTAAGTTTGTATATTTTGAGGTCTTCTGTGTTAGTTTTAATGTATACGGAACAAAAACTTAAAAGGGTATGCTTATATGTAACTATAAATGTACTGTAAAATTGTAAAATGTTTGAATTATGTGACCTTGTTTGGTTCGCAATAAAACTTTATGGTTATTTTTCCCCTAAATTGCCTTTGTGTTTTGCTGTGGACGACGAAATGTTGTGACAAACAACACATCGGAGCATATACATTTATTCGTTTACTAAGCAATATCACATCAGTAGCAGTGCGATGTGGCTGTATCTGCACAAGTGGGAGGTGTGTGATTGTCCCATCAGTGACAATATACAGCCACGTCGCACTGTTACAAGTGTGATAATGCATTTATACAACAGTTCAACAGCATGATCGTGCGTCTAAAACAGAAAATCAAACACAGAGTCTAAAAATCCTTTCGTAAGAGCAGCTACTTTCTTCCGCCATTCATTCACATCTGCAGCTGAAGTCAGACGTCACTTTAGAGCTAGTGTTTTAATGATTCTCTAGCGTTCTGTCTGAAGTAATGACAAAGGTGATTTGCTCACATTTTAAGATTATAAGTCTGAACGGCATGAAATGCCATCAGTCTACAGAGATGCTTATTTTATTACAGGGATTATTATGCGGTATCTGTGTCCATCTTGTGAATGAACAACGTCAACCATCTTTGGTCTGCTCAGTGACAGGCTAATGGCTGCTTAGGAGGGGGGGGGGGGGGGGGGAGTTGATGGTGCGCGATGGAACTGAAGAGCCGTAGGGGCTTGTGCGTGTGATGTACCTGACATGGTGGGGCGAGTTTCGTGCGACGTATCTGAAGAGCAGTGGGGGGCGAGTTGCGTGCGACGGATCTGAAGAGCAGTGGGGGCGAGTTGCGTGCGACTTATCTGAAGAGCAGTGGGGGCATGTGCGTACGATGTACCTGAAGAGCGGTGCGGGTGAGTTGCGCGTACCTGAATAGCTGGGATGAATGCGGTGAAAAGGGGTATGCAACATATTTTACGACAGAGCAAGGACAGAGACAGGTGATTTCAGGGAGATTATTATTCGTTTGTGGGCATCCGGGAGTCTCCCGCAAATGCATAGAGACTCCCCGAACCCACAAACTTCCGAGAGACTTGGGATGTGTGCAGAAATATAAATATTTAAAAAAATAGGCACTCTCCTTAAAAATAAACTGCATAGTTGCAGTCTAAACAACTACCTTCTCAACTAAAGAAGCCTCAAAAGTACTTTATGTTGTTCAATAGCAGCAATATTTGTCAAACTGTAGAGTGTCCTCTACTTGTTGCTGTATGTCGGCGGAGTAATACACAAGAGTGAAGAGGCTGTTATTTGCAGAATTTCACACGGCTATTGGCCCATCAGATTTAAGAAACAGACAGAACTGTTGTGTAAAAGGCAACATCACATGTTGTGAAACGTCATCCGACGTCACCTCGGCTGGTCAAAGGTCGCTTTTAGGACCGTATTGTGCGTCATTTGTTTTGTTCCCAGGCCAGCGGTCACGCCAGTCTTGCAGACTGAACTTTCAACCAGCCATAATTTCATTTCTCTGGCATCTGTCAATGTTTGCGTGTATTAACTGCGGCTCCTGGAAGGGCTTTTCTGAGACCCAAGGTAATGTTCTGAGCAAGTTCACCAGAAGCGCAGCACTTGAGGCTTTAAAACTAGGTCACGCATCAGCGATGTGACTGGTACTTTGGTAAAAGTAAACTTAAAAATGGGATAAAAGAGATTTCATAGACAGGAGGATACTTGTTTTGCTCTTAACAGACTAACATGGCTGTGTGACTATAACACTATAGTATAGCAAAGCAATAACTTGCCGATAAGTTTGGTCATAAAATCTGAATTTGTTTATCTTATATGGAACAACACTGCATTGCAATAACCTGGATATCTGGATATCTGGATATCTGGATAGATAGATAGATAGATAGATAGATAGATAGATAGATAGATAGATAGATAGATAGATAGATAGATAGATAGATAGATAGATAGATAGATAGATGGATGGATGGATGGATGGATGGATGGATGGATGGATGGATGGATGGATGGATGGATGGATGGATGGATGGATGGATGGATGGATGGTTGGATGGATGGATGGATGGATGGATGGATGGATGGATGGATGGATGATGGATGGATGGATGGATGGATAGATGGATGGATGATAGATTCAAAGTTGATTAAATATAGCACTGTATACAATACAGAATGTCAATAACTTGCAGAAACACATTGATGCAGTGGAAAGAATTTTAGATTTCCTAAAGAAACTTTTTAATGACTGATTCTTCAAATAGCCTTATTTTGTTTCCTTGTATGAAAAATATTTTTATTAACCAAACAACTTTTTTCCAGAGCACTTTCTGTGCATTGTAAAGATCCTAAGATCAGGGGTGTCCAAACTCTTTTTTATGAAGGGCCGAAAAACAAACTTTATGGAGACTAGTGGGCCGAAGGTAAATAGAGTTGCCATGGGTAATTTCCTTATTTATTTAATAACATAAAAAGATAATAATAATATTGAAAATCGTTGCTTTACATGAACTTATAATATTTTTCAATATATATATATTTTTTACATTTTATAATGTAGCCTACTTACTACAGTATAAACAAAAACAATCTCATTTATGGTTTTAAACACAGATTCATTTCCATTTCATTTCAGTTTTTTTCAGCTCAGCAATAAAACAAACATAAAATGTTACGCCAAATTAGAAGTGATGATTTAAGTTAAACCCTCTATCATTCTCAGATAGGATGGCATATCAAAGGTTAAAATGGGCCAACTTTGGCATGCAGGCCCTACTTGGGCATCTCTGCTTTAGATGTAAAAGGTCCTTTATGGAACCATCCATGATGAATCATTAAAGAACTTTTATTTATTTTGTTTTATGGATGGATGGATGGATGAATGGATGGATGGATGGACGGATGGATAGAAGGATGGTCTGAGATCTTATGATCAGCTAGCGCCACCTAGTGTTGCTTTTAAAACCTTTAGACAATTTTTAACCCAATACTTGACTAAAATGTACCACTCGTCTAGTACATGCATATGTAACCTTACAAAAAGCAAAAAGTAATGCCTTTTATTATAATAAACTGTCGAAACTGTTTTTGTTTTGGGGGTTTGAGTTCTGGTTTGTTAAACTATGCTTAGTGCAACAGAACCACTGGTATTATGTGGTTTAATTACAGTAACACCCTCTCCCCCCTCTTTTAAAACCATGGTTTATTTTCGTAAGGGTACGCGTAATAAAGCTGTTACGCACCAAATGCATGGACATTTCTCTTTCCGTTTAGTGTTTGTGGAGGATTTGTGTTTGCACTAACATGTAGGAATGTTTTTATTTATTTATTTTATCATTCATTTTATATTTATTTGATTTTCTTCTACTTGAATGCATTGAATATTTTCACATGCACTTAATGCATGAAAAAACGCCTTGTCAAAGCACAACCTTCACAGTTTTAGTGTAATTGCACATCACTGACCGCTAGAGGGCGCTATATCATTAAGGGAAACTTCTAGAATCTAGAGGAAAAAACTGATTTCTTCTTAAATGAAAACAAGAAAGGCCTGGTGCTGGTGCTAAATTATCCACAAAGACATGGCATGTGGATTCATTAGCAGTGCGTTGAAGTACAGTTATGTTTGTTTGGAAAGCCACTGCTGTAATTCAGCCATTGCAAGTTTTACACATACAGCAGTTCAAACAGTGTCAGCTTATCTGTGAAACAGCAGACTGCCAGATTTCATGTCAGTGGCCTTATCAGAATCATAAATTAACTTTCAATCAGATTAAACATTATTAATTTACACATACCTTATGTAATCCTGTTTGGATATTTATTTGTATTAGATTAATTATTAAAATGAGCCGAGATGCAGCAAACAGGCCAATATGTAAATGTATGTAAATCTGGCCACAGTAATATACCTTATTGATATAACATCTTATTGTAGATTTATATTTTTATATATTAGTGTAGATTATATATGCATTTACATTTCCCATATAGAAAACTGATGGAAATATCTGCAAATTATAAATTAAAAAAGTATTTGGATTTCACATTCATACAAATAGGCTATTTAAACATTTTTTAAATGGCTGTTTACACACAAATAAATATATGTATATGTGTATTTATATATGTATTTGTGTCTGTGTGTGTGTCTAGGTAAGTTTTGAGTTATGCAGCAAAACTTAATAATACTTGACAGTATATACCGAATAGTTGATAATAGTTTGATACTTGTTTACCGGAAGGTTCTGTACAGTTACTTTTCACAGCAACTGAATGTCCAGAACTTTCTTATTTAAGATCCAAAAATACCCTTAAGGGAACATTCTGTGTTTGCTGGGGTCACACCAGTTGTGTACTTTCATAAGGGATAGTAAAGTGCACTGATGCTGTTTGTTTGCAATATATTTAGAGGTTACAGCATCCAGGATGACAACAATTAGCATTTTGATGAACAACGCACGTTCTCTCTTCTGTGTAAACAAAGAGCATCAGCAAATGTCTGTGTTTGCCTCAAGCTCTCCATGCTGCCCTGCATGTGGATTAAAGGTAATAATAATGTAATAATGTTGTAAATATTGTTCAGTAAATTATCCCTTTAGGGCAAACTTGCTTAATATGAGCTTTTATGAAATTTACCTGAATAAGATTTGTTGTTGGCTAAAAATGAATAATTACAACTTTACAACAATGCAACAATTACAAGACTAGTGACACGCTTGCTTATTTATTTATTTATTTATTTATTTATTTATTTATTTATTTATTTATTTATTATCATTATTTTTTTTTAAGGTGACTTAAGATCATTATATACTATTTTTTTTCCAACACTGAATACTGTATTTAATCTACTGGTAACAGTAGCTGACCTGAAACAGACAGTCTAACACTTTCAGAATGTTCTGTAAACAATTACGTTCTGGTTACAAAAACAGAATGTTCTTATTTAGCTTTCAAAAATAACTATATGCAAACACTAGAAGGACATTAGTAGAAAGCTCCTGCTACACCTTATTTTTAACACTGTGTCATATTTCTGTATGTTTGTGTATTTTCGTTATCTTTTGTTCTACTACAAGTAAAACAAACAACAA